TTATCTTATTGCTTTCTGGATGGGAATTATGATAATATATTTCAACAGACACATGGTCGAGGCCCACACCCATGACAAAGATGTTGCCCCCTCTTCAGGAACTGGACTTTCCTCCACGCACCACTTTGCTACCACTCTGCTTGCTGCGCAGTGTCCCTGCCTTCATCATAGCTTGGTCACTATTTCAAGACAGGCATCAACCTGCGGCAGGTGTAGCACTGGAACCTTGGTGTGTGGTTCTGTTCCTCTGGATCTTGGTGTTCTGGCTCCAGCTGAGACAGGGCCGCATGGAGATCCCCATGTTACAGGGCTCAAGGATCACAGGAGTCTGGGCCTGAGACCTCATCCTGTGTGTACAGCACCTTCCACCCACTTGATCAGTCAACATGACTCATGCTGGGAAGACTATGGGGTGGGACGCCATGAATTCTGAAACCCGTTTGTGTTTTGTGTCTACCTCTGTATTCCATGTATAGAAATTTGGCTCCAGCTTCCAGCTTTACATTTAAGGAGCAGAATCCAGAAAAGGAAAAAATGAAAACAAACAAACAAAAAACCCCAGCCATATGCTACATCTGTTTCAGTTGCAGTACATCTCAGCTCAGTGTAGTGGTGCGGGACAAACCTTTCGTAATGATAAACAGGTTCATTTTCCTAGCGATAATCCTAATGATGGTCTAGAACTATCACTCTCCAAAATTGGGCTGTCTCCCATGATAAATGCTAAAGGCACTTTGGTAAATAAAACTAAATTAAAATGAGGTCCTTAGTTTCTCAGTTTCACTCACTCACTTCTAGTGCCTAACACATGCGTGGCTGGATGCCAAACTAATGATAAACACAAGCACACATACTTAGAACATCTTGGACAGTTATTTGGGTCAGCGCTGTTCAAGTACACATTTCACCCACAGTGTTATTACACAGCAGAAACCTCACCAACCTTTATTTCAATAGGCTTGGTGTCTCAGATATTCTCTTGAGTGTTCAGCTGTTTTGTTTTGTTTCCCCCATTATTTCCAGATATGCCATTTTCAAAATAACTCAAAGGAGTCAAACCTTGCTCCAAAGTGTTACTGTGCTATGAAACCAGCTTACAATGCCCTTCCATTTGGAGAATAACTCAGAGCTGTGTGGGATGAGGGTTACCTGCTGGCTACCTATTTCAAGGTGGCAGTGAAGAAGAAGAGGAAGGGAAAAGTCAGAAAAGTAACTTCGTTCCAATTTGGAAATTCACTTTAAATTTGGGGAGTGCTGGGGGTCCAGTGGAAAGTGAGGAGATGTGGGAGTACAGGTTTACTTTTGTTTTCTTTTCATCCTGACACTGTGTTAAATACAACACAAACTACTGAGGTGTTTGCTAAACTGTGTCTCACAACTTTTTTCCTGTCAGCAATATATCTTTATTGTGTTTGTTACCTGAGAAAGTAACTTCAGAATAAGCATACATATGAAAAGGATGTACTAATGGTTTCTTTGTTCATATTTTTTTCAAGGGAAATACACATACCTCACTGAGAAAGCTCTGTCTAGATGCAACAAATCACCAAATAAGTGAATATCTTAGGAAGACCAAAATTTATGTCACTGTAGCTTAAAGAATAATTGTATTTTAAACATGAAAATTTATCACAAATGAAGCAAATCGTCCACAGATACATATCACCAGCTTATTAGCCAAATTATATTAAATACCAAACATTTTAAAAATGCTAAAAGGTAATGCATAATTGCATTTAATAGTTTTATTTCCATCCTTAACATTATCTCAGATGTCTGGAGAAAAGTATTTGCTGTTCTGAGAGGGCCCCTCTGTCTATGAGCTTTATGCATTATTGCCTGGTCTTTCTGTATCAACATCATGGATCCTCTTGGAAGGTTCCTAGAATGAGGTAAACTTTTTGATACTATGAACAGCACTGGCCACACAGAAATAGCAGCATATCTGTAACTAAGCTCCTGACCAGTACAGGACTGCCGTGTCCCATACTTGCAGTTCAGCTGTTTTGTTCTCCAAGTTCATGTTTTCTATAGCAACTCAAGGAAGTCTTTACTGAGAAATATTAAACTGTCAGACATGAATCTGGTTATCTTGGGTGCCCTTAAGTGTAGTGGATTTTGGTGGCAGCAGGAGTGTGCCTTGCTTCCAAGGCTATTTGCATTTTTTTTTCTTCAAATTTCAAGGATGATGATGCAAGAAGAGAGTGGAGAGTTACTTGCTGGAGCTTTGTGCTTCTGAAATTGCCAAATGTTTCAGATACCACAGCTGCAACCAACCAACAACCAGTGAGTATGCAAGCCATACAAGTGTGCAAGGATTCTCACAGGCTGCTCTTCATGAGGGTATGGGGTGGAGACATTGCAGCTGGGTTATCACATCTAGAATGTGACCATTCAGCCTTCTAACATTTCCTGCCACTGCACCCTGGAATGTTTTCAAGGCAGCTTTCTCTTTGCCAAATATGTATTTTAGGTAGAGGAATCATTTGAATTTTCTACAGCCTTGGACAGGGTAGAATAGACTCAGCTTCATGAAAAAGGTTGAAATGATTCACTGAAGTCACAAACAAAAAGGATGCTATGTTACAGACCCTCCATTAGATGGCAGACAGACCCACAATGAACAAACCCTGAGGCCTCAGTCATGAGGCATGGACTGTAGAAGGGGTGCTTTCCCATTAGGGAGCCACTAAGGGAGGAAGCTCTCCACCAAGCTTTCTTAGCTCACATGGCTGAGGGTCTCTGTGCCCAATGGGTTATGTCCTTCCCATATGCCAGTTCCTTAGTATTTCCTGTTTTAGTTTGTGATTGGTAATGCACCTGACTATGCCAACTTTTCCAGGAGGACTCTGGTTTGGCAGTGAAGCACGAGGGTGAGAGAACAAGGGCCACAACACTGCATGTGGGCCCCTTGAGTGAAAAAAGCATGAAGTGGTCTCATGTATTCAGAGGTTGAGGTGAAAGATCCCACAGAACTCAACTCTGTTCATTGACGCAGAGGAGACACAATGGAAGAGACTCTTAAAAGAGGGAAGGTGGAGTGGAGAGGAGCTGTGACTGCAGATCTGTCCCCCCCCCCACTGTTCTCCAGAGTCCTCACCAGTGAGTGCAGAGGATGTCCACAGAAGATGATGGTGGAGCCTGAGCTTTATGCTACTGAGACCCTGCAGTGGGGAATCATCCAGAGGTAAAGTGCTGACTCTGAGAACTCACTGTTCATTTTCAATTTGCCATATTTTGAAATAATATGTAACAAAATCAAATAATACAATATTTATTCCTGCACTAAATTAATTACATGCACACAGAGAATAAGCTATGCACATGCTTTTCAACTTTTTAAGCAAACCCGAAGCTGAGTTGAACTCTGGAATCAGGGACATTTGCTGATCCTCTCCCTGGCCTCTGTCCCTCAGGAGCAGTGAGAACTGTACTGAGAACCTTCAGCTCCAAGAGCCAGGAAAGCTCTGTGCTCCTGGGCTCTCATGGTGTCACTGCTCCAGATGCTGACAGCTCGGTGAGCAACTTTGCTTCCCTGCATCCCCTGCCAGGAGTCACCATGGGCAGGGACTGTGGTTTCCCCAGGTCCTCAGTGACAGGGACCAGGAGAGCAGCTACTTCCTCACAGCCTTGAGGCCACAGCTGATCAGCTCTCAGCCCTACTTGCCTGACTCCAAACTGGTTTCAGGTGCCTGATTGAAACCTCTCCCATTCACTGCAGTACTTAAACATCTATTAAATCATTAAATCACTGCCCACATCTCCTGGATTCCTGAAACCCCTTTACCCCTAACACCAAGGTCAAGGAAAATTTGTTTTTCTTGTTATCCTAGAGTCATGTTTGTTACTAATACAACAGATAGATTTGTTTTTAAGACCTGTCTCTTTGCCCATTATAAGTTGAAGCACAGGGTCATTTATATTTTAAAGGTCCTATTAAAAAATAACACATTCACAGAAGGTATCTCTGATTTCTTCAGTTCATTCAGCAGCAGCTCTGATCTGCTATGTATGGAAAATGCAGATGAGCCTCCTCCAGCCTAGGCAGTAGTGGGATTCTGAGGCTCCTGTGACCTGCACCAAAGTGAGATGTGAGAGGAGTAAAGAAGGTGGGGACACTGGGAAAGATTCACATACACCTGAAGTGGAGAGTAAGGTGAGCAGTCTTGTCTCAGTTTCTTAAAAACAAACAAACAAAAAACAGTTTTGAGACTACTTGAGTCACACAGGCATTGCAGTCATCTGCACATCAGGAGCCCTTAGACCCAACCTTGAAAAGTCCATTCATTGAGATTCCCAAAGCAGGAGGAAACAAATTGGGTGCTTTCTACTCTATCCAAGCTGATGAATCATTCATGAATATTCCAACACCCAGATTTTTCTCTGGTTTTAAATATATCCCGTCTCTCACATTGTGTCTGAAATGATTCCAACTTATCCTGCAAAGAAAATCGAAAGCAGAAGCATGGCTGGACTTTAGAACTGCTCTTGGAGGAAGACAAACAGAAACAATGTGCTCCTGTGTGTGCCTGAGGGAAGTCTGGGGCTGGACAGCAGCATTGCTCATGTCCTCCCCTGATGTCTCAGTCATGCTGTGACACTGAGTAGAGGAATGCAGACAAGTTCACAGAGCTCACAAATGCTGCTCTCTTCTTGTCTTTGCTTTGCATTTTATATCCTAAGCTTAAAATAACTCATTTGATTCTCTTCATGCTTCCTTCTTAAAGGGATCATAATGTAGGAACCTGGAGTTCAAAGCGTGATCTGAAAGATGAGAACAAGTGTTCACTCTACTCATGGAGAGCAGCCTGATCCTGTGCTGTGGCCCAAGGGGGAAACACTTCATGAAGGCAAATCTGTACTGCCCTGCTGTGGACAGGAGACACTGAGCCTGTGCAGAGATGGGCCAACCCTGCAGCTGGGCCAAACCCCTTCCACCTCTGCTAATTTGCATATTCTAAGAACCCAGCCAGCTACTTGAGGACTTCTTAATAGGCTGCTGGCCTTACCCTGTACAGGTTCAGCCCAAGGCAGGACACAGCATGGACATGAGGATCCCCGCTCACTTTCTGGGCCTCTTGCTGCTCTGGGTCCCAGGTATGGAAGGACAGCTCCAGGAATTTACTCAGTGATGTATTCAGCATAGCCTGCCAATACATTAGAGTTCGGTTTCATCATGAATAATCATGTTGATACTTGTTATTTCCAATTCCAGGTGCCAGATGTGACATCCAGTTGATGCAGCCTCCATCTGCATCTGCATCCGTGGGAGACACAGTCAAGATCAGTTGCCGGGCCAGTCAGGGTATTAGTGATGACTTAGACTGGTATCAGCAGAAAGGAGGACAAGCTCCTACACTTCTGATCTATTGGGCAAACAGATTGCAGTCTGGGGTCCCATCGAGGTTCAGTGGCAGTGGATCTGGGACAGATTTCACTCTCACAATCAGCAGCCTGAAGCCTGAAGACTTTGCAACTTAACTACTGTCTACAGAGTAACAGTTTCCCTCCCACAGTGATACAAGCCATGACATAAACCTCCCAGGAAAGCAGAAGTGTGAGGCTGACTGCCCCGCTGCTTCTCTTTGTGTCTCCAACCACATTGCAAGGTCCTCAGATACAGCCAGGTTTTGATGGTCACTTGAAGGATTTGGTGGAAGCGCCTAAGGACGCTCCTCTTTATCCTAGCTTTGTTTTCTGCTTCTCAATCCTGATTTGATGAAAGACACCAATAAGTACACTAGAGTAATGTGGATTATGGCATTATTTTGTATTCACATGGCCACCGAGGAACTCTATTATGGGTTCCAAGAAATAATTTTAAACCTTTTCTTAATCACTTTTAGAGATTTATTTATGTATTACACATTTTAAAGAGAATGCAACACAACAAAGTACAATACAATAAAGCCAGTGCAAGCAAAATAATGAAAGCAATGCATGACTTCAAAAGAACATAACAGAAATGAACAATGGCTACTATAATATATCTTGTTATTGTCTAAGTAGCCTCCCTCCCATAACATGAGACATCATAAAATCAAACAAATAACAATGGAAAAAAAAACAAACAAAACAATGTATACATTACAGGCCATTAAAGCAAGATAGTACGATATTAAAATGCCTCTTACTGTCCTACTTGTAGAAATTTACATTCACAGCAAAATAAAAAGTGAAGAGATATCTTTTATACCCCTATGCCTACATCTACACAGTATATCATCATCATGAATTATGATGTTGTTGCAATACATTAATATTATCCTAAGCCTAATGTTCATATTTCATGTTAATGTTGACTCATGATGTTGAAGATTTCAGCAGAAAGCACAAGTATAATGCATAGATCCAGCACTAAGGTGTGGCACAATGTTGTTTCATTGCACTAAACACCACTATCTTCTATCTGTGCCTCCTCCTTTGCCTTCATTTTCTGTTAGTCAATCACAACTTTCCATGCCTGTAGCTTTTCCTTTCCTGGAGATATAAAATCTTTGAATTCACAATATGGAAGATTTTCAAAAGCTAATCTTGAAATATAATGCCATAAAACCCAGAAATAAAAATACTGAATAATACATTTTGCTACTACCAAAACTCCCAATTATAGCATCTCTTATTATTGCAAATACCTGCTTAGTAAATGTCTTAGATCCTTTACTATTGAATTCTTTGATGCTTCCGTAGTAATGAGTGTATCTCAGAGAACACCAGGAGGGTACAGTTTGCTTTTGCCCTGAAGATTGAGTCTATTATGATTTTCAGACTTGCAGAGGAATCCTTAACTTCTTGTTTTCTATTAAAGATAATTTTGTTGATACAAAATTGATATGAATCTTGATGACCAAACAGTCAATTCAATTTATAGGTGTAATACCAGAACTTTGTTTTGTTTTAGATCATTCAGATGTATTCTCTGTTTCACTAACCCAATCTCAGTGTTTTTCTTTACTTGTCAGGGAACTCCTATTTTCTTGTATTGATCTGTTTTCTGAGAAATGAAGAAAATAAAGATGATCTTTTATACTGTGTAAAATATTTCCTATACTTATTTTTACATCTTCATATGTGATTTTTAGGCTGTGGCATTTGAACACCAGAGGAGGTTACAACCATTATAGGAACACAATCTTCAAGTGTCATACTAATATTTTTATACAAAAATCTCAAATCCTGCAGCAGCATTTATTCTCTGTATAACACATTCCATGCTTCTTCATCCCATTGACAGGAGGCTTTCATGTATCCTTATGCTCTAATGTTTTCATTCTGAGGTTTTGCCTTTTCACTAAGATATATTAAATAAGAATAGTTCTCAGTCTTCAAGAACATGCAAGTACAGAAAAATAGTAATCAGCAAATGCCTTAAAGACCTCTACCTTATCTGGTTACTATTGTGCATCAATAAAGAACAGTTTAAATTCAAGTAGTGTGAGCATCCAGAATTGTCATCACTTCGTGATATGATCACATGACTTCCTAGGAGAACAGATTGGTAGAGTCTTTAAAGCTGCCTATTTTAATAGTACCACACCCAAAAGTAGAAGTTTTAAGCTTTTGATTAATGTCCTTGGAAATATCTGTTCACTGAACATCTTGTCTTAGACTATTTACATTAGCTTTATTCATAAAAACTTGACCTGAAGTTATTATTGAAATCAACACATGAAGCAAGAAGTACTGATATCACCATGCATTACAAAGTATTCAGAAATAGACAATAACATTATTGGTACAAAAACAACAGGAACTGACCTAAAAAACAGCTGCGTTGTGTAAAAGTAGGAAGCCACTAGTAAACAGAAGCTATATAATATCATTTTTGCATAAAATTCTAGCGGACAAATCTAAAACATAGTGATAGCAGACATGTCAGAGTATGATGAGTCCATGGGTTGAAGAGGAAGTTGGCTACAAAGAATGGTAGGTTAAAGTGTTGCTTATCTGGGATAAATTGTTATTGCAGTGGAATTTTCCCAGTATAATTTTTACAGAGATGAACATGAATTTGTATTTCACTTATGATGGTGTAAACATTTTAGTAGCATTAATGTCTCCAATCCAGGAGCATGGGGTACCTTTCCAATTATATGTGTCTTCTGTATTTTCTGTCATCACTTTTAGGGCAGTCCAATTTATCCATATATCTCTTCTGTAACTGTGATTGTGGGTTTGTGTCCTGTGGTATGTTTGCCTTCTTTTTGGCCTAAAGTTATACTCTTATGCTGTCTCCCAAAACTTTCATACTCACACCTGTACACCATAGTATTCCATTCCTTTATATTTTATGTGATATCATATGCATCAGTAGGATTTTAATATGCACTTTATTTCCTTTTTATTTCTAATTGCTACTGGTTGTTGAAAAAGACGCACATAAACCTATAATTGACTTACTCTCTTTGTAAAAATGATGTGATGTATATTTGGATCTTTTCTCTTGACTCTTATTTTTTGCTTGTTCAGTTTATTTATCTTTATTCTTATGCTGTACCACATCATCTCACTGCAGTTTCTTGATAATTCTCACCCAGGTTTGCAAAGCTGAGATTCAAACTGAGGCTCTTATGCAAACCAGGCAAATACTCTACTGTTGAGAAAATCCCCACTTCCTATAAAATCTTAAATTATAATTTTGTGCATATTCTATTTTATTCTTCAAAATTTGTGGGTATATAAGGCCCTTTTTATTTCTCCAGTAATCTAGAAACTACTCATCCATGTAAATAAATAATTGGTAGATTGATTAGATTTCATTGCATTAAATACACTTGTGTGTATATCTTTATAAAAATGAAACTTTAATAATATCAAGTTTTTTGTTTGAGAAACATGGAAAAATTCTCAATTTACCTAAATGTTTTTAATTTACAAGACATAATGAATGTTTTGACAGTGAAACTAGAGATTTTATGAAGTTATTATTCTAGTTAATTTTGTTGTAGTCCTTAGGAATTTATGCAAGGCATTTTGCTGAAAGTATGTGACAATATCCCTTTTATGTTTGAACTTGGGCATTTCATTACTTTGTCTTGTCTCAATGTATTTTGGAGCAGCTTCAGCATACTTGGCAATAAAAGTGAACATTCCTTTTAATTTATTCTGAAGAATAAAATACTCAGGTTTTTATTGGTCAATATGATTTTCTGGAAACTTTATTAGGACTTTAAACCAAGTTTTTCAAAACTGTTAAGGTAACACATGGTAATAGAACAAGGTGGAGAATCACCCAAGGAATTTTAGTCAAATTTTAGTTTGACTGCACAGCAAGTTCCCTTTCTGATTTCAGTGCAGTGGTATCAGGGTTATGAAGAAAGAGACTCAGCGCTACTCATCTGTGAAGTTGGGGGCCTCTGGGCACCAAGGGCCGTGTCTTCCTATCTACAAGTTCCTAGTATTTTCCTTTTTCTTCTGTGATTAGTAACGCTCCTGATTACTATCCCCTTCTTAGGAGGATTCTTAGAGTCTGACTGAACTGTGGGTCAGCAATGAGGAAGGGTGGGTGAGAGAACAAGGTGCACAGCTCTGATTTTGGCAGCCATGAGTGAAACGGGGATGAAGTGACCTGGGGAGTGAGAGACAGGGGGACAGAACTTACAGACCCCATCTCTATTCAGAGATGCAAGGTGTGGTGTGACCCATGAAGAGAACAGCAGTTCACTTTACCTGTGGGAGAGCAGCCTGATTCTTCCTGGTGGCTCCAGAGAGAAACATGTTCTCTGAATGAAATCTGAGCATGTGTGGCTATGTGAACCCGGAATACCCTAGGTCAGTACTGAAATGAGCCAGGACTGCATGTGCCCAGCCCCGCCTCACCCTGCTGATTTGCATGTGTTCATAGTCCAGCCAGCAGCTTGAGTACTTTTTAAGAGATTAGCATATCAGGTGTAGGTGTCAGTCCCTGTAAAGGCACAGCATGGCTATGAGGGTCCCTGCTCAGCTCCTGGGGCTCCTGCTACTCAGGCTCAAAGGTAAGGAAAGATTGATCTTGCAATTTAGTTTATTTAGAATTGCCTGGTCATGGGTCCCTGTCTTTTCATGGACTGTTTTACTAAGATTACATTGATATTTGTTATGATTTTACTCTCAGGTGCCAGGTGTGATATCCAGATGACTCAGACTCCATCCTCCTTGTCTGTATCTGTGGGAGACACAGCCGCCATCACTTACAAGGCTAGTGCGGATGTTGGCTACAGTTTACACTGGTGTCAACAGAAACCAGGAAAAGCTCCTAAACTGCTGATCTATGAGGCAGACAGTTTGGAATCTGGGGTCCCATCGAGATTCAGAGACAGTGAATCGGGGGCAGATTACACTCTCACCATAAGCAGCCTTCAGTCTGAAGATGTTGTGACTTATTAGTGTCTACAAGGTTATGATACTCCTCCCACAGTGATACAAGCCATAATCAAAAACAGCCAGAAAAGCAGAAGTGTGAGGCTGGGCTGTCCCTGGTGTCAGCCCTACTGTGTTCAACTGCTGAGAGCATTTCTCTGATCCAGCCAG